GGAGGTTTATTTTTATTAAGTGAATTAATTCATTTTAACATTTCAGATTTAATTTAAAATAACAATTTTTATCTATCTAAAGCTTTTGAGGATTCTTAATAATTTTTAAGAATTGAAGGGAATCTGTGGCCAGGCGCAGGTGGCTCATGCCTGTAAATCTAGCTACTCAGGAAGCTGAGATCAGAGGATCATGGTTCAAAGCCAGCCCAAGCAGGAAATTCCATGAGACTCTTATCTCCAATAAACCACCAGAAAACCGGAAGTGGTGCTGTGGCTCAAGTGGTAAAGCGCTCGCCTTGAGCTGAAGAGCTTAGGGACAGCGCCCAGGCCCAGAGTTCAAGCCTCATGACCAACCCAAAAAACAAAAAAAGAATATGTGTGTGTGTGTGTGTGTGTGTGTAGTTTAAACTCGGGCCCTGTGTGTGTGTGTGTGTGTGTGTGTGTAGTTTAAACTCGGGCCCTTTGCTTGCTAGGCAAGTTCTATCATTTGAGCTACACCCCAGCCATACCTTTTTTTTTTTTTTTTTTTTTTTTTTTTTTTGGGTCCAGTCGTGGGGCCTGAACTCTGGGCCTGGGCGCTGTCCCTCAGCTCTTCAGCTCAAGGCTAGCGCTCTACCACTTGAGCCACAGCGCCACTTCCGGCTTTTTTCTTTTTGCTTATGTGGTGCTGAGGAATCGAACCCAGGGCCTCATGCATGCAAGGCGAGCGCTTTACCACTGAGCCACCTTCCCAGCCCACCCCAGCCATACCTTAACCCTCCCATCTTGGTCCTCTTACTGCTGTCTTCTATATAGCTTGGATTTCAGGAGTAGACCACTACACCTGGCTTATTGATTGAGTGGGGTTTTCTGAATCTGCTGGAGCTGGCTTTGAACCTCAAATTCCTGATGTCTGCTTCCAAGTAGTTGGAATTATAGTCATGAACTACTCTGTCTGGCCAAAATTTAAGGGGATCTTGAGAATCATCTGCTTTCCTTTTAGACTTTAAAAAAGACTTATTAGGGGCTGGGAAGGTGGCTCAGTGGTAGAGTGCTTGCCTTGCATGCATGAGGCCTGGGTTCTATTCCTCAGCACCACATAAGCATAAAAAGCCAGAGGTGGTGCTGTGGCTCAAGTGGTAGAGCGCAAGCCTTGACCTGAAGAGCGAAAGCCTTGACCTGAAGAGCTTAGTCAGTGCCTAGGCCCAGAGTTCAAGCCCCATGACTGACCAAAAAAAAAAAAAGACTTATTGTAGGTGTATTATACTGTGCAATCATGAATGATGTGCCTGAATTGCCTTTTTTTTTTTTTTTTTGTCCCATCAGGGCCTGGGCACTGTCCCTGAGCATTTTTGGTCAAGGCTACTCCTCCACCACTTCAAACCACAGCTCCACTTCTGTTTTTCTGGTGGTTAATTGGAGATGAGTCTCACAGACTTTCCTACCAGGGCTAGCTTTGAACTGCAGTCCTGAGTAGCTAGGATTATAGGTGTGAGCCGCCAGTGTCAGGCTTCCTTTCTTCCCCCATCTTTCCCCTCCCCTCTCCCTTCCTCCCTCCATCTTGGGACTTGGGACTTGATCTCATCACCTCAGCCTCCCAGGTAAGTGGGGCTTCTGGTATGGGACACTGTTCAGCTTAAGGGTCTTTTTTTTTTTTTCATCCTAGGGAATGCCTCCCTTGTCCCCCGCTGGTTAGCTATAGGAAACTCTTAGGTTCCAGGTTCCAGTAATTGATTGTGGGTCCTAGATATCAGCCACTGTTTTTACTTTCTAGTGCAGTTCTGTTTCTCTAAATGCATGGACTGCTACTACCTGAGCAATTTTACTTTATCCCTTTTGTCAAGGAGAGATTAATAAATGGGTGTTAAGGAAAGTTGTTTTTAAAATGTTGGCACAAGCCGGGCGCTGGTGGCTCACGCCTGTAATCCTAGCTACTCAGGAGGCTGAGATCTGAGGATCGCAGTTCAAAGCCAGCCCGGGCAGGAGAGACCGTGAGACTCCTATCTCCAATAAACCACCAGAAAACCGGAAGTGGCCCTGTAGCTCAAGTGGTAGAGTGCTCGCCTTGAGCTGAAGAGCTGAGGGACAGCGCCCAGGCCCAGAGTTCAAGCCCCACGGCCGACCAAAAAATAAAATAAAATAAAATGTTGGCACAAAATGAAGCTTTCTCCTAGAAGTACTAAAGAAATTGACAGTTTATTAACAAAGAGAGGATGGTGAGGAAAAAAATGTGGCATTTTCTTTCACAACTGAATACTGGTGGGTGTTTTAGAATTTGTTCTCTGTGAATGAGGAGAATATCCTTGGTGATTGAGTAACAGTCGATTATGTGAAATGACCATAATTAGGCCAGAGGCTGTTGTTACTGGTTTTGTTTTCATTTTTTGGCAGTACTGGGATTTGAACTCAAATGTGCTTTCTAGGTAGGCGCCATACCTATTGAGCCATGCCTCCAGACCCTTTATCCATTCATTATTTTCAAGGTAGAGTTCTACTTTTTACTCCTTGGCTAGCCTGGGCTTCAATTCCCTCTACTTAAGTTGTCCTGTGTTGCTAGGGATGACAGGCACATACCAGTGTGCCCAGCCATTTTGCTTTCTCTGTTACTGGGAGGATATGTGTGCCACTGTAACTAGCCGTTAGTTGAAAAAGAGGCTCTCAAACTTCTCTTTCGTTTGTGTTGGCCTCAGATTTTTCTCTCTCCATGTTTACCTCCCAAGTAGCTAAGATTTACAGGCTTGAGCCACCTTGCCCAGTTTAGAGACTGTTATATGTCTAGGAAGCCCCACTGCATAGTTATACAAACTAGGTCCTGAGCAAATGTTAACCAAACTGAATTGAACTGAGGCCTGCTTGAAAGGTATGTGTGACTCCATTCCTCTGAAATTCCTTCTGTTTCCCTACACCATTTTCTCATTTACCTAACCCCACCAGTATTCTTTAGTGAAACCCCTGTGTGACTGATAAACTCATAATTTCTAGTGCCTTTAATAGTCAATAAGGGCCTGGGGGCATATTCAAGTGGTAAAAATTCAATTGCTTGCCTAGCAAACATAAGGCCTTTAGTTCAAACTGAATGCCACTAAAAAAGAAAGAAAAAAGAAAAAAGAGTCAATGAAATGCTTTCCTTGTGGTAGAAAGAAATTGAGAGTATGAAAGAAAGAGATTAGTCTATAAGTGATGCTTGGTTACAGTCTCAGTCCTCATTTTCTTCTTTCTTTGAGTGGATTTAAGCTCTAGCCCTGGTATTTTTTTCCAGTCCCAACAGTTAGATGAAATGCCGTTGTCTCCCATGCACTGGGAAACCAGCCTGCTGAGCTCTACATTATGCCTCAAGCTCTGGGACATGCTTCAGATTGCCTGTGTTGTCACTGTCCTGGCTGGAAAGTTGGGAGTAGACTCAGCAGTCATGCTCATACTTGAGTCTGTTGCCGCTGCTGATTGATGTTTAGAGGCAGAATTCCAGGCAAGCCAGACAGAGATGACTGCATACTGATGCTTCTTGCCAACCACTTTGAATATGAAATGACTTCTGAAGACTTATGAATATATGCATTTTATTTTTGCCAGTAAATAAGTAAGTTTGTCTTTAAGAAAAAAAAATGATTCTTTTTGGATTGAAGAAGAGAGTTTGAATTTTTGCAAGAGTTTTTGAAGGAACTAGCCCCAAGACTCATCAACTGTTATGAGATGGGACCTTGTCTCCCATGGTGACAGATGGGTGTATGTTCTCTTCTGTGATCTGCCACTCAGGAAGTGATAGTCACAGGAAAATGTCGAGTTGGCAGTGGAGGGAGGAGTAGAGACTCATGTGGTATGGAGATGAATCACTTGTTTAGCATATTTTCTTCCTTTGATATACCATTGTGGTAACTGGAGAGAATGAAATAAATGTAAAACAACCCCGAAGGGCCATGGCCTGTGGATGAGAGCATTCAGGAGGGAGGACTACTGTTTATAGGCATCTCATATTTCAAAGGACCCTTGACGATTTTTGTTGTCAATCTTGAGAAGAATGTTTTATTGTTGATGGTGTCTCATGTCCCCTTTACTTTCAGAATTCCTTAAAGTAACTCCATTCAAACCAGGTAGCAGATTATTTTTTCCTCTGCTGTGATTTCTCTCTTTGATTGCTTTTCTAGTTTGTCTTTCCTGAACTTTTTATTTCAAGACTTATAAACACACAAGAGAGAGATAATAGGGTCAATAGGGCTGATTTAGAAACTTCACCCACCGATGAAGGAGTTTCTTAACTTCATTCCATAGTACTAATGTTCTTTCAGTTGCCTTTTGAAATATTTACGTAATTCATACAAAGTAATACTGTATATGTACACACTTTAGAAGCTGGAATTAGATGGTGTTAAATTTTTATCACACTGTACAAAAAAGGGTGCTGTAGGATAAATGGGGCAGTGATACACATAAAAAAAGATAACATTATAAATCATGGTAAGTTAATTCCTCATTTCCGAGCCTTCAATGTATTCAGTATAACTTGCTCAGGAGGGAAGGAAACAGTACTATATTGACATAAGATTGTTCCCTGTGACTTAAGATGTGCCATCAAGTTGGCTTATGGATCTTGCCTAGACACGTGCAAATCCATTTATTTTGTTGGTTTGAAGCACAAAGTTAGAGGTAGGTACTTATATAGGGAAGAGAGGAGAAGAGGAGGAACACAGCAAAGAAGAATGAGGAGACTTAGCATCTTCTTTGGTCATATCTTTTCCTAGCAGTGGGTCTCTTAGAAGTACAAATGAACTGGTGTCTTACAAACTAGAAAATAGTCATTATCTGACTGTAAACAGGAATTGTCTGCTTGTGCCCTCTCATTTCCTTTAAGATTTCTGCTGACTTGGTCTGGGATTACTGTAATTAACTGTGTGTGTGTGTGTGCACATGCACGTGCTGAAGATTGAAACTAGGACCTCACAAATGCTAAGTATGTGATCTACCATTGAGCTGTACCCCAAACCCCAGCTCACCTTTCACATTCTCTTTTTCTTTCACCTGTGTAGAAGATCATTGCAGTCTTCAAACCCAAGAATGAAGAGCCATATGGACATCTTAATCCTAAGTGGACCAAATGGCTGCAGAAGTTGTGCTGTCCCTGCTGCTTTGGCCGTGACTGCCTTGTCCTCAACCAGGGCTATCTTTCAGAGGCAGGAGCCAGCCTGGTGGACCAAAAACTGGAACTTAACATTGTACCCCATACAAAGGTCAGTGATTCACTTGCAGAAAGTCTTGGTGCTTGGCCAAAGTTTTGCTTGAGGTTTAAGTCCTATTAGTGGGACTTTGGGTGCAGTGGGAGCTATTTAATTCTGGTGTTCTTAAACCTTTCAGAGGAGGTAGCAGATTTAGGCTCATGGTTTGATCATCTGACTAAAACTATCTTTCAAGGGACACACGTGTAGACTTTCAAAGGTCAGGAATTTCACAGTTGCCTAAGAGATTACATCTGTGAACCCCAGATAATCCAAACTGGTAAAAACATAGCTGTTTTTACTCTCTTAGACTTCTGAACCAAGATTTAGATGCATGGGGCTGGGATGGTGGCTCAGTGGTAGAGCTCTTGCCTTGCATGCGTGAGGCCCTGGGTTCGATTCCTCAGCACCACATAAGAAAAAAGCCGGAAGTGGCGTTGTGCCTCAAGTGGTAGAGCACTAGCTTTGAGCTGAAGAGCTGAGGGACAGCGCCCAGGCCCAGAGTTCAGGCCCCACGACCGGACCCCCCCACCAAAAAAAAATAAAAAAGATTTAGATGCAGTTGGCTTCTTTCTTTTCTTTCTCTTCCTCTCTTCCTCTCTCCTTGTTTCCTTCCTTTTTGTGTGTGTGTATGGGAGAGCCACTGAGTTTGAATTAAGGCCCCACACCTAGGAGACAAGCTTTTTTTTTTTTTTTTTGTCGTGGGGCTTGAACTCTTGGTCTGGACACTATTCCTGAGCTTTTCAGCTCAAGGCAAGTGCCACAGCACTTGCGCCACAGTGCCACTTCCAGTTTTCTGGTAGTTAATTGGAGATAAGAGTCTCGCAGACTTTCCTACCCTGGTTGGCTTTGAACTGTGCTCCTCAGATCTCAGCTTTCAGAATAGCTAGGATTACACATGTGAGCCACTGGTGCTCGGCTTAAAGCAAGCATTCTTACGGCTGTATTTCTTTTTCCTTTTCTCTGCTTGTTATATTTTGCTTGTTATTAGGATCTTGCTTCCTGCCCAGATATGTACCTGAGCCATGATTTGCCTACGTTAAGCTTCACATCAAAGCTAGGATAATGTGTGCACCATCGTAACTAGCTCTTTTTTTAAACCGTTAATTTAATTTTATTGTAAAGGCGATGTACAGAGAGGTTACAGTTCCCTACATAAGGTAATGAGTACATTTCTTGTCGAACATTGTTCCCCCCTCCCTTGTCTTTCTCCCACTTTCCCTCCCCCCACAACTAGTTTTGGGGACTTTTATGTCTAGGTTGACCTCAAACTACAGTCCTATTAATCTCAGTCTCCCAAGTAGTTAAGATTATGGGTATAGGCATGATCCACTGATATATGGTTTCCTTCCTTTCTTGCTTCCCTTTCTCTTTCCTTCTTTCTCTCTCTCTCATTCTCTCTTTCTCTCATTCTCTTTCTTTCTCTCTGTTTCTCTTTCTTCCTTTCTTTATCTCAGAGAAGATCTTACTGTCAAACTACAGGAGTGTACTACTATACCTGGCTTTAGATGCAGTATAGAATAGATCAGCTGATGTCAACTAAAGCACTTCTGCAAGGTCTGGCAAGGAAGACTTTAGTCTTAGAAGATTTTCCTCACCCACCTCATATAGTGTAGAATTTTGAGACTTGTCTGACTACCAAAATAGAGGTCTAGGCTGGAGGTATAGCTTTGTGGTTGAGCACTTGCTAGCATTCATAAGGCCCTGGTTTAATCCCCAGCTAGTAAAAAAATTTGAAAAATAGATGTACCAGATCTAGGGAAATTCATACATGGAGTGGATTTGTACCTACTCTGCATGTGTTACAGACTTAGTTGATATTCTGGTGAAGGGTTTGGGCCATACTCTCCTTCCCCATAAAAGTGTTGCTATACATAATTGATTGCATACAACTTCAAGGAGTTGGCTGACACTAGTTTAAGAACCCCTATACTCATGGGATTCATAAAAGCTCCATGAAACTCTTAAGAGTTGTGAAGGGAAGGAAAATGCTGATCAGCATACAAACACTTCAGAACACATCATCACCCATGGAGTTTGTGATTACCTGAGCTATAGTAGTCACTTAAGTGGAGCTCTGATATAATGCCCTTACTTAGGATGCCGAAGCATCTTCCTAGCTCTGGGTCTTAACTTTCTTTGAAAATTTGATAGAAGCTATAGATCTTATTCAGGGGGGATTATATATTTGCAATCAATATTTTTTGCATATAATTTCAGGAAATGGTTCATAGACCAGGGGAAGTTCATCCATTTTCCCCCCCTAGGATCCTGTATCTACATTAAAAATCCATGTCTGAAGTTTTCCTTAAAGGTTTAGATAGTAAACACTATGGACAAGGAGATTAATCCGCAAATGGAACTTCCTTCTAAACCTGTCTTCTGTTGTCTTTGGGTATTTAAAAAACAGTTTGTAATTATTGTAGGTGTTTGACTATTTCTGCTTCCTTGCGATTAAACAATGTAACAGCTAGTTTATAAATTTCTGAAGTCAGAGACTACTTGTATGTGTGCAGGTCCTGAGGCTTGAATTCAGGGCCTAGGCACTGTCCCTAAGTTTCTTTTGCTCAAGGCTAGTATTCTACCACTTGAGCCTAAGATATGCTTCTGGCTCTTTGGTAATTTATTAGAGATAAGAGTCTCAGAGAGCCAGGCACCAATGGCTCACTCTTATGATCTTAGCTACTCAGGAGGCTGAGATTTGAGGATTGAACTTCAAAGCCAGTCCATGGAACTTCTTTTTTTTGTTGTTGTTGTTGGTCATGGGGCTTGAACTCTGGGCTTGGGTGCTGTCCTTCAGCTCTTCAGCTCTAGATGAGTGCTCTGCCACTTTGAGCCACAGTGCCACTTCCAGTTTTCTGGTGGTTAATTGGAGGTAAGAGTCTCATGGACTTTCCTGCCTGGGCTGGCTTCGAACTGCCATCCTCAGATCTCAGCCTCTTGAGTAGCTAGGATTATGGGTGTGAGCCACTGGCGCCCTGCCCAGAAACCACTTCTTGAGATTGATCTTTCTTGAGATTTTTATTCCATGCTTAGCAACTAGCAAGATACCAAATGTATATTAAGTGTTTATTAAGTACTAGTTGAGTCACAGAATGGATATTAAATAATGAGCAGTAATCCAAAGATTCCCCCAACTTTAGGTCTATAGAAAGAGTATTTGATTGGGCTTAGACATTTGGCACCAATTTTCTGCCTGGCTTTGTACAGCTCAATCCCTTCCTCCTTGGTTTTTGCTCTCCGCAGATATTTAAACCACACATTTTGAGTATATTGTACAGTAATGCTCCTAAGTCTCCTGCCTAACCTGAAATTCTCCTCCTAGGCTCCTCCTAGACTCTGGAAACTCTTTGAAACACACCTTCATCATTACTCTGTAATTTCCTTCCTTTGCATTGCATATAATTGAGTTCTCCTGGCTCTGTGTTTGCCTGCTTTGCTGGTGCTTTTGGAGTTGACAGTACCTAAGGATCAGAAAGCTTGGCTTTGGATTCTGGCTTTGTAGTTTTTTTGTGTGTGTAACAATATTGCTGTGTAGTTTGCTATATAGTACTTGCTGTATAGTTTATGCTGGCCTAGAATTTAGTCTTTTTATCTCAGCCTCCTCAAAGTACTGAGCCACCACACTAAGCTTCTGTATGTTTATATATATGTGACCCATGGGCAAGTTAGTTAATTGCTCTAGGCTGCTCAGTTTCTTCCCTGAAGAAAAAGAAATAGTTTATTTTGTAGAGCAACTATTAGGATTACACAGAATGATTCTTGTAAGTCACATAGCCTGTGGCATGAACAGACATGTTATCCTATGATATTTTTATGAACTATTCTAATCATTAATATCACATTACAACCCCTTTCTTCCCCTGCCCCTGATGTTCCCCTTTTCCTGTTAAAGAATTATAATGAAAGCCTGAAGTGGTGCTGTGGCTCAAGTGGTAGAGTGCTAGTCTTGAGCAAAAAGCTCAGGGTCAGTGCCCAGGCCCTGAGTTCAAGCCCCCAGGATTAGTGCACGTGTGCACACAAACATACACACATACATACACACAAATCGTAATGATTTCTGAGGATGTTTTGCATCAGAAAGTCAACCAGCAGCAAAAACTTGTCATCCATGAGACTGAGATGAGACAGAACTTTTCAAGCATTCAGCTGCTGGAGAACAGTAAGAATCTCTCCCTTCCCCACTTCCCTATCCCTGTTACAGGATTCTAACCAGTTGATTAGAGCATCTGTTACTATGGAAACAAGGCTCACATTACAGTTGAGTTTCAAATAGTAACGTTCTAATTCTCACTCACTGGTTGTTTCTGTGAGATTCCAGGTGATGATTGTTTGATTATTCATAGTGAAAAAAATGGTTTGTTGGGAAGAATGATTCAAATCTGATAGGAAAAAAAGGATGCTGTATGGCTTGAGAGATCTAAGGGTTTATTTTGTTTTGTTTTTTGGGTCTGGTCGTGTGGCCTGAACTCTGGGCCTAGTCGATGTCCCTCAGCTCTTTAGCTCAAGGCTAGCACTTTACCACTTGAGCCACAGCGCCACTTCTGGCTTTTTTCTTTTTGCTTATGTGGTGCTGAAGAATCGAACCCAGGGCCTCAGGCCTGCAAGGCAAGCACTCTACCACTGAGCCTCCTTCCCAGCCCAAGAGAGCTAAGATTTTCATGGCAGAAACTTGCAAAGTGGCTTTAGAAAAGCTCTTTGTCCTTCATTCCTATTCCTTAGTTTTCAGGTTTGTAAGTTAAAAAGTACTCACTACAGTGCTTTGAACATTCATTTTAGGAACCTTGTCAATACTGGAAGAAAGGAGGGAGGGAGAGAAGGGAAAGATGAGAAGGAATTGTTTCACCTCTAAGGTTCTTGGGCAAAATAATTATTTGTAAGCTGGGTTTGGATGGCTCATAGCAATAGTTTTCGATGTTTGGGAGACTGAGAACAGGATTATTATTTAAGTTTAGCTTGGCCAGAAAAACTCAAGACATCTCTTCTCAACCTGTAGCTGAGTGGGGTGATGCATGTTTGTCATCCTAGCTACATGAGAGTTTGAGAACAATAGGATTGTGGTTCCAAGCCAGGCTGTAGAAAAGTCCGTAAGAGCCAGATGCCTATTGCTAGGAGGCTGAGATCTGAGGATCATGGTTCAGAGCCAGCCGGAGTAGGAAAGTCCATGAGATTCTTATCTCCAATTAACGACTAGAAAATCAGAAGTGGCACTGTGGCTTAAGTGGCAGAGTGTTTGCCTTGAGCTTAGAGCTCAGAGACAGCGCCCAGGCCCACAGTTCAAGCCCTATGACCAATGCCCCCCCCCCCCCCAAAAAAAAATCATAAGGCTCCATCTCAACAGAAGAAGCTGGGCATGAAGAAGTTTTTTCTACTATTCTTAACTATTATATTTAATATAGAAATGGTGACATACAAAAATCTTAAATTCCAAGTTTGAACTTAGAAGGACCAGCAAGTATCAGACCACAGAGGAAATGCTGTTATTCAAACACAGAGACAAACATTTATAGTTGACAGCTGTGATTGAGATGGAATTGGTACTTCCAAGTTAAGTTATTTGCCATGTAGAGGAAGAAGAACTTAGGAAAAGCATTGTAGTAGTGTTTGTAAATTGCAGTTCATGAGGCAGGCTATGATTTCCTTGGAGATGGCAAATTCACCTGAGTTACCTTTCTTTTTTTTTTTTTTTTAGTCCAGTCCTGGGGTCTGAACTCTGGGCCTGGGTGCTGTCCCTCAGCTCTTCAGCTCAAGGCTAGCGCTCTACTACTTGAGCCATAGTGCCACTTCCGGCTTTTTTCATTTTGCTTACGTGGTGCTGAGGAATCGAACCCAGGGCCTCAGGCATGCAAGGCAAGCACTCTACCACTGAGCCACCTTCCCAGCCCGAGTTACCTTTCTTGAAGGATCAAAAATGGCAGATATTCAAAATATCAACAACCAAAGCCCCTGGCCTTGAAGAAGCAATGGAAAGACTAGTTTCTACTTTCCTCTCTTTTCCCCTTGCCCCTTTTTTATTTTTGTGGTACTGGGGACTGAACTCAGGATAGGGCCTCTTTCATACCAGTCAAACTCTATCATTTGAGCCATGTTCCCAGCCTTTTTATTTGTATTTTGTTTTGACATGGTTTCTCACTAACTTTTCTCAGGCTGGCCTCAAAACTCTCACTCTCAAGTCCTCTTGCCTTTACTTTCTGAGTAGCTGAAATTTATGTGTATACCATCGTGCCTTGCAGTCTATTTTTTGCTCATGTCTGTTTGACAGCTTTTCCAGATCTGTGCCACTCATGTCATAAAGGGATCTTAGATCCCTTCCATAAGTTTAGCTCTGCTGTCTCAGAACTCTTTATTTCTAGCTACTCAGATTGGGATAAGGACTACGGGATATTTTTAGGGGGTCAACCTGCAAATGATGTGACTTTGTGCAAATGATATATGACTTTGACAATATTCCACTGGCCCAAACCTTTTAATGTAAGAAAGTTGCATTGTGGGCTGGAAAGGTAGCTCAGTGGTAGAGTGCTTGCCTTGCATGCATGAGGCCCTGGGTTAGATTCCTCAGCACCACATAAGCAGAAAAAGCTGGAAGTGGCGCTGTGGCTCAAGTGGTAGAGCGCTAGCCTTGAGCTGAAGAGCTGAGGGACAGCACCCAGGCCCAGAGTTCAGGCCCCACAATCGGGGAAAAAAAAAAAAAAAGTTGCATTGTGCATTTTTTCTCTGCTCCGGAAGAGGAAAAATATTGGTGAGCATCTAACTTTAAACTCGATTCTAACCTGGATATCTCTTCTCTTTCTGCTGTAGGTAGTATACCTGGCCAGTGAAACCTTCAACTATAGTGCCATTGATCGAGTGAAATCCAGAGGCAAACGGCTTGCCCTAGAGAAAGTGCCAAAAGTTGGGCAGCGGTTTAACCGCATCGGGCTACCACCAAAGGTACAGATTGCACTGATATGGCTCATTAGAGGTGATGGCTTTAGTGGCATAGTCATTCAAGTAGGGAAGCAAAGTGCATAAAAGCCTAAACATGGGCAATGAAACAACTTACCCAGAAGCTTTAGTCTTCTTCGTTTCTGTCAAGGGCCTATGGTTTGGGAAAGAATTCTCCCGAAAGCAGAGACCTTACTTTTTCACTTAATTCCTCTGGCCTATTAGGATGTGTCCTGAACTTGGATGGGTGATTTCTCTCACATTCTCCTTCCCTTTTACTTAAAAGGAAATAAAGGCATGAAAGTCTTAGAAACCTTTTCCTTCTCTAAATGGATGAACTCCACAGTACCGTAATTGTTCCCTGGCTTGCCCACTGGCTCTATGGAGCTGGGCTGTAGAAAAATGCTTTTGTTTCTTCCTCTTGGTTGCAGGTTGGTTCATTCCAGCTCTTTGTTGAAGGCTATAAAGATGCAGATTACTGGCTGCGACGTTTTGAAGCAGAGCCTCTCCCTGAGAACACTAATCGGCAATTACTTCTGCAGTTTGAGCGGTTGGTGGTGTTGGACTACATTATTCGCAACACTGGTGAGCAGCTAGGGCTGGTCTCATGGCCTGTGCTGATTTAGCTCAGCCATGGGGTCAGAAGCCTTGTCAGAGGAGGTTTTCCTATGTTGAATGGGTCATGCACATTATGGGAGTCTCTAGAGAATGCTTCTCCAGGGTAAGCTAGGTCCATGTGTAATTACCAGGTGTGGTGAGTCCTAGAGCTATGACAGCTTATTTCTTTCCTGGTCCCAGACAGAATATACCTGGCTCTTCCAAAACACCATAAAGAGAATGCTTATCTTTTATCCCTAGTCATTCAAGAGAGAGAGAGAGAGAGAGAGAGAGAGAGAGAGTGAGTGTGTGTGTGTGTGTGTGTGTGTGTGTGTGTGTGTGTGTGTGTGTGTGTGCGCGCGCGCACGCGCGCGCGCGCTGATCCTGGGGTTTGAACTCAGAGCCTGGATGCTGTCCCCTGAGCTTTAGTGCTTAAAGCTAGTGAGTGCTCTACTTTGACCCACAACTCCACTTCTGACCTTTGCTGTTTAATTGAAGCTAAGAGTCCCATGGCCTTTCCTGCCCTGGTTGGCTTTGAACCATGAACCTCAGATCTTAGCCTCCTGAGTAGCCAGGATTACAGGCATGAACTACAAGTGCCTAACCCTAGTTGTTCTTATAGTATCAAGACCTATCACAGTTTTGTCACTTTCTAATTTCTTGGGATAAATGGCTAGATCATTATTTTTGTTGCTGCTTTAAGTAAGCTTGGCACCAGTGGCTCACATATGTAACTCCCAGCTACTCAGGAGGCTGAGATCTGAGGATCATGCTTCAAAGCCAGCCCAGGGAGGAAAAATGCATGAGACTCTTTATCTCTAGTTAGCCACCAAGAGATCAGAAGTGGAGCTGTGGCATTAAAAAAAGCTAAGGGACAGCACTCAGGACTTGTTCAATCCCTAGTACCAGCCCAAAAAAAGTCTTCAATTGACTTGTATATTTTCTGTCGAGTTGTTCTTTGTCTGTATTATTGTTGCTTCTGTGAAGACAGTCTTTTTCTCTAGCTTTTTTTTTCTTTTTTCTTTTTTTTGTGCCAGTGCTGGGACTTGAACTCAGTGTCTTCTGTCACTTAAACCATAGCTCCACTTTCTGGCCTTATAGTGGTTAATTGAAGATGAGTTTCACAGATTTTCCTAACTATGCTAGCTTTGAATGATGATGCTCAGATCCCAGCCTCCTAAGCTAGAATTATAGGTGTGAGACTTTGGTGCTTGGTTTCTCTAGTTTCCTTTAAGCTTTTCTGTGTCTTTGGTTTTCAGTTTACTGTGATACACTTGTTTGTGGTTTTCTTTGTATTTATTCTGCTAGGGATTCGCAGTACTCCTTGAACTTATTGTTTGATATATTTGAGGGTCCTTTCTCTGTATTTTTTTCTGTCCTAGATCACAACTCTTCAATTCTTGTGTTTTTGTTAAAATTGTTAGTTTCCCAGTTTTTGTAGTTGTACTCATAAAAGGATTGGCCTAGGTGCTCAAATTACCTAGCTTACCATTATTAAAATTGAATGTCACTCTGGCTATTTCTGCTAACTTTAAATTTCTATTCACAGATCGAGGAAATGACAATTGGCTGATTAAATATGACTGTCCCATGGATAGTTCTAGCTCTCGGGTAAGAGGTTAGTTTATATCTTAAAGAAAAGGGTGAGAATGAGTGTCATTATAGTTTAGAAACACACAAAATGGTCAGAGTTAGGTCCTGTAAGATCAGAAGAATCTTGGAAGCACAGGATTTAAATTAAGTATATTGCTGACTGATGTTAGAAAAGCATTAAGAAAAGAATCAGCTAAGTTTGGAACATACATACTCTATTCTTTTGAGTCTTGCATTGCATAGTAGCATAGAAACGGCCTGGGAAGTTCTACATTAAGTGGACAAGTAATATCTACACTTTTTTTAAAACCATGAGACTCTTAACAACAGACCACAATTCCACAGAATGAAAGTTTTAGGAAAGCTACTTGTGGACATTTCTTTGTTGTTGTTGTTTTGTTGGTTGTGGAGCTTGAACTCTAGCTCAAGGCAAGTGCTCTATCACTTGAGCCATAGCGCCATTTCTGGTTTTCTGGTGGTTAATTGGAGATAAGAGTCTCATGGAGGGCTGGGAAGTTGGCTCAGTGGTAGAGCGTTTGCCTTGCATGCCTGAGGCCCTGAGTTCGATTCCTCAGCACCACATAAGCAAAAAGAAAAAAGCCGGAAGTGGCGCTGTGACTCAAGTGGTAGAGCGCTAGCCTTGAGCTGAAGAGCTGAGGGACAGTGCCCAGGCCCAGAGTTCAGGACCCATGACCGGACCAAAAAAAAAAAAAAAATCTCATGGACTTTCTGCTTGGATTGGCTTTGAACCGTGATCCTCAGACCTCAGCCTCCTTAGTAGCTAGGATTACAGGCGTGAGCCATCAGTGCCCAGCATCGTGTACATTTCTACATTTCTTATTCCCTCATTTCTCGCATCCTTCACCACTTTGCTGTTGCTGCCTGCATATCTTTTTTTTTTTTCTTTAGGTTGTGGGGCTTAACTTGGCTTGGGCACTGTCCCTGAACTTTTGTGCTCGAGGCTATTGCTCTACTGCTTGAGCCACAGCTCCATTTCTAGCTTTTTGTGGTTCAATAGAAATAAAAGTTTCACAGACTTTCCTGCCCAGGCTGGCTTTGAACCATTGATCCTCAGATCTCAGCCTGCTGAAATAACTAGGATTACAGATGTGAGCCACCAGTGCCCAGCTTGCATGTCTTTTTAAAACAAAATAATAACCAAAAAAACAAAAACAGACTTAAGGTCTTGCTAGATAGCGCAGGCTGGCCTCATATTTGAGATCCTCTTACCTCAGCCTCCTGAGTTCGGGGATTAGAGATGTATACTCTGGCTCTTGAATATATTTTTAAATTTATTTAAATTTTTTGATTGTTATGATAAAGGTGATTTATAGAGGGGTTACAGTTACATGAGTCAGGTAAAGAGTGTATTTCTTGTTGGTGCCGGTGGCTCACACCTATAATCCTAGCTATGCAGGATCTGAGGTCTGAGAAGCATGGTTCAAAGCCAGCCTGGGCAGAAAACTCCATGTGATTTCTATCTCCATTTAACCACCAGAAAACCGGAAGTGGCACGGTGGCTCAGATGATAGAGCATTAGCCTCAAGCTGAAGAGCTCAGGGACAGCGACCAGGCCTAGAGTTCAAGCCCCATGACAGACCAAAAAAAAAAAAAAGAATGTATTTCTTTTTGGCCAGTCACCCCTTCCCTCACTGTCTCCCAGTTTTATATATATATATATACACACATACATATATATATATGTATGTATATGTATATATAGCATATAATGTATTATATAATATGTAATATATATTACATATATTTATATAATATATATATATACATATATTTTTTATTTATTTATTTTTGTTGGTCGTGGGGCTTGAACTCTGGGCTGGGGCACTATCCCTGTGCTCTTCAGCTCAAGGCAAGTACTCTATCCCTTGAGCCACAGCACCACTTGCAGTTTTCTATTGGTTTATTGGAGATAAGAGTCTCATGGACTTTCCTTTCCTGCCTGGGCTGGCTTTGAACTGTGATCCTCAGATCTCAGTCTCCTGAATAGCTAGGATTACAGGCGTGAGCCACTGGCACCTGGCTCAAGTTTGAAATATATTTTTAAATTTTCTTTTTTGGAGGCTGTTCCTAGGACTTGAACTCGGGGCCTGGACGCTGTCCCTTAGCTTTTTCTCTCAGGGCTGGTGCTCTGACACTTCAGCAACAGGTCTTTTTCTGGCTTTTTGGTGGTTAATTGGAGATAAGAGTCTCATGGATTTTCCTGCACTGGCTGGCTTTGAATCATGATCCTCAGATCTCAGTCTCCTAAGTACTCTGGCTTGACTATATCTTTTAACAGTTAACAGGCTTCCTGGAGGAGAGTGAGCCCGGTTTTTATTTCTCTCCCCTTTCTGCCTGGTTCTCCCTCCTCCACCTTACCCTTCTTTTTCCTCTCTTCTTTGTTCTCTTCCTCCTCTTTGTTCTCCTCCTCCTCTTCCTCTTTCTCATTCTTATCTTCCTCCTCCTCTTCTTCCTGTTCCTCTTTTCTTTCTTTCTTTCTCTTCTTCTCTTTTTCCTTCCTTTTCCCCCTTCTTACTCCCCTTTTGTGTAGCACTAGTTAGAATCTAGGCTTTGCATATGCTAGGCAAGCATTCTACCACAGTTAAACCTTTAGCCCCATTTTTTACTTACAGTGGTTTTACTTCCTTCTCCTTATGAATGGCTCTCAAGAATTTTTTGTCTGACTTATTAGAAGAACTGTATCTCTGTGGTAGAATGCTTGCCTACCATGTGTGAGGCCCTGAGTTTCAGTATACCATTGTAGAAATCAAGACCAAAAAAACCCACATAGTATAGATTGTTCAGGTTCCCCAGTAATTAATGGTTCAGGTCTGGTACAAAACTCAGGAATTGACACCTTTTAAAATAACTGATCCAGGCCAGGTACTGGTGGCTCATGCTTGCTATCCTAGCTACACAGGAGGCTGAGATCTGTGGATCATGGTTCAAAGCCAGCCCAGGCAGGAAAGTCTCTGAGATTCATATCTCCAGTTAACCACCAGAAAACCAGAAGTGGCACTGTGGCTTAAAGTAGTAGAGCACTAGCTTTGAGCAAAAGGGCTCAGGGACAGCGCCTAGGCCCTGAGTTCAAGGCCCATGACTGACAAAAAGAAAATAAAGTAACATATCCAGGGTTGGAGGCCTGGATCAGGTGATAGAGCACCAGCCAATGAATGAAAGCAAGCGTCAGATACTAAGTCCAAGTCTCCCCCCCGCCCCAAAAAAAAATAACACCCAACCCTTGCCTTGTATTCATAAACTGCTTTGTTAAATGACAACTCCCTTGTATAACTATTTAAAGATGATAAAAACTAAAGGGCTGGGAATAACCAGGTGCCAGGGTTCACGTTTGCAATTCTAGTTGAGATCTGAGGATCTGAGGATCACAGTTCAAAGCCATCATGGGCAGGTAAGTCCATGAGACTCTTATCTCCAATTAACCACTAGAAAACTGGAGGTCACTGTGGCTCAAGTGGTAGAGTGCTCACCTTGAGCTGAAGAGCTGAGGGACAGCACCTAGGCCCAGAGTTCAAGCCCACGACTGACTGACAAAAAAAAAGGGGGGGGGGGCTGTAATGTGGTTTAGTGGTAGAGTGGTTGCCTAGCATGCATGAACCCCTGGGTTCAATTCCTCAGTACCACATACACAGAAAAAGCTGGAAGGATGCCCAGACCCAGAGTTCATGCCCCATGACCCACAAAACAAACAACAACAAAAAAAAAAAAACAGGGAAGGCAGGAAATGTGGCTTAGTGGTAGAGTGCTTGGTGAAGCCCTGGGTTCGATTCCTCAGTGCCACTGGAAGTGACACAGTACCTCAAGTGGTAGAGCTCTAACCTTGAGCATAAGACAGAGCCCAGGCCCTGAGTTCAAGTCCTAGAACTAGTCAAAAAATTAAAATAACAGTTCCCAGAGGATTCTGGTGCAGGTGTTCTGGCACCACAGTAGTCCCTGTTCCTGTAATTGCAGGAATGAACATGAAGGGAGCATGATGCCACCTAGTAGCATTAGGATCTGTGACGTGGGCTGTCCCAAGTGGCCTGCCCACATTCACCTCTTGCCCTTTTCCTTCTTAAGTCTCACTGAAGCAGAATCAGCTCCCTTATGGAAAAGCAGCCAGCGTATCTTCTTGGGTTTTTTAACTGGAAAACGTCCAGATGATACAGATCTTTCTAATTTTCTATTCTCAAGATTCTCACTGCTTTTCACTAGGAAGAATGACTTATAGTTATTCTTGTTTTTGTCATTATCCTTAGCAAGGACTGTGGCAAGTCCTGGGGAAGTGCAACTTTTCCATGATAAGAAAGCAACTGTTGCCGGGCGTGGTGGCACACACCTGTAATCACAGCACTCAGCAGACTGAGGCAGGAGGATCGTGAGTTCAAGGCCATCCTGGACAGCATTTCGAGATGCTGTCTCAACTAAAAGGAAAAGGAAAAAAAAGAGACTCTGAGAACCTTGTACAGACAGGTCAGAGGTGCCACAAATGTATCAGGTCAGATAGCAATATAGAAATGACAATATGGTAGCTCCAAATAAATTAAATAAGGATTGCTATCTGAGGGGGGCAAGATGGGTTGCTTTGCTGCTGCTACTACTACTGTAAAGGGCCTAAGGCAGATGGACTCCCTTAGCAATCAGTGTCTCCTTGCTTTGCAGGACACAGACTGGGTGGTGGTGAAGGAGCCTGTTATCAAAGTGGCTGCCATAGACAATGGGCTGGCTTTCCCATTGAAGCATCCTGACTCCTGGAGGGCATGTAAGTCTGAAGGCCTCTGGGTCTGGCTTTGCTTTTGCTTGGACCCAGTTGTTGTCTCATTGTGCAAGGGATATAATAGTACCTCTGTGATAGAATTGTTCCAAGAATTAATGAGCCATTGCAGCTCAGGCCTCAATCACCACAGCCAGGACATGGCAACTGTGCTATAATATAAACCATTATATGATTTTTTTACCATATATTTTTATTATGTATTTATTACATATTACCATACGTTGTTACTATTCCCACTATAGGAATATGAGTAATTAGAAATTAGAAGCATAGTGTTAGAGGTGTAGCTCAGTTGTAGAATGCTCACCTAGTGTGAGTGAAGTCTTGGGTTTGATACCTAGCAGAGAAGGAAGGAAGAAAGGAAAGAGAGGGAAGCAGGAAGGGGAGAAATTAGAAGGATAAAGATGAGTTTTCTCATGTCAATTTTGCATTCCCCTTATTCTTTGTTGGGATTGTGTTTTCATAATTGATTGTTGAGTCTCTAGATAAGCCGCTATCAGTATGCCCTGTCTTTCCTTGATGATATCCCTTTCCTCCACTCTGAGAATGGAAAGGTGGAGAGATACAAAGAGGAAATCTCTAGCTTCCTTTTGAAGCACTTGTTTTATTTTCTGGACCATTTCAATATCTTAGTGACAACTAGTTGCATTTGGATAGGCTTGCATCCTGGGAGGTCATGTCACATCTGGAAAAGTGCTCTGGGATTAGGTTGATCTGGGTTTGAATCATGATTTCTCTACTTACTAGCCAAGTACTTATGGTTAGCAGCACCTTAAAGTGGTTGTTTTTATCTTCTGTTATTTCTAAGGGAAGAAGGGGCTTTCTCTTTGAAAGTCTTCTAATGGTGGGCTGGGAAGGTGGCTCAGTGGTAGAGCGCTTGCCTTGCATGCTCGAGGCCCTGGGTTCGATTCCTCAGCACCACATAAGCAAAAAGAAAAAAAGCCGGAAGTAGTACTGTGGCTCAAGTGGTAGAGCGCTAGCCTTGAGCTGAAGAGCCAGAGTTCAGGCCCCATGACCGGACCCAAAAAAAAAGAAAAAAGAAAGTCTTCTAATGGTAAAAGACACAGATAATGGCTTGAACTTTACTTTTGGTTTTCTCCTTTTCAGATCCTTTTTACTGGGCCTGGCTGCCCCAGGCAAAAGTTCCATTTTCTCAAGAGATCAAAGACTTGATTCTTCCAAAGATATCTGACCCTAACTTTGTCAAGGACTTAGAGGAGGACCTCTATGAACTATTCAAGGTTAGTCCTAGGAACCTCCTGCATATGGAAGAAGGCATTTCTAATGTCTTTTCTTTCTTTTTTTTCTTTTTTGTCAGTCATGGGGCTTGAACTCTAGGCCTGAGTGCTGTCCCTCAGCTCTTCAGCTCAAGGCTAGCACTCTACCACTTGAGCCACAGCGTCACTTCTGGTTTTCTGGTGGTTTATTGGAGATAAGAGTTTCACAGCTGGGCTGGGAAGGTGGCTTGGTGGTAGAGTGCTTGCTTTGCATGCCTGAGGCCCTGGGTTCAATTCCTCAGCACCACATAAGCAAAAAGAAAAAAGCCGGAAGTGGCACTGTGGCTCAAGTGGTAGAGCGCTAGCCTTGAGCTGAAGAGCTGAGGGACAGTGCCCAGACCCAGAGTTCAGGCCCCACGACCGGACCCAAAAAAAACAAAAAAAAAGTTTCTCAGTTTTTCCTGCCTGGGCTGGCTTTGAACCATGATTCTCAGATCTCAGCCTCCTAAGTAGCTAGGATTACAGGCGTGAGCCACCAGCGCCTGGCTCTGTCTTTTCCAATTGGTCCTGGCTCAAGCCAAGAGAGAATGACTAAGCACCTATCTGATGTGAGTTAGCCAATGAAGTGTAAGATCCTACAGGGGAGCAGTAGGATCTGGTTTGGATGGGTTTGGGGGAAAAAAAAAAAAAAGCCGTTCTGATGGATTGATCACACTGATCTGTCCTGTGACAGGGGTTGTACTGTGTCCATAGAGCACTCACTTTTTATAAACGGAGTACTGATGCCCACAGTGAGTTATGGAAAATGAAGAATTTTCTCATTGTGTATTTCTACATTTGTAAGAGAGGAAGTTCTTATGGTGCTAGTTGACTTCACTAAGCTTTTTATGTAGGTTTTCTGTATTCGAAAATTTCTAGTCTGGGGAGAAAATGTGAGACTTCCATGTGAGTACTGGCTTTTTCAAAAATAATTTTTTATTTAGATTAGGTGATGACATAAATTTCACATATTTCACAGTATTGTTGAAAAAGTGATTCTTTTTTTTTTTGGTCCGGTTGTGGGGCCTGAACTCTGGGCCTGGGCGCTGTCCCTCAGCTCTTCAGCTCAAGGCTAGCACTCTACCACTTGAGCCACAGGGCCACTTCCGGCTTTTTTTCTTTTTGCTTATGTGGTGCTGAGGAATCGAACCCAGGGCCTCAGGCATGCAAAGCAAATGCTCTACCACTGAGCCACCTTCCCAGCCCTTGGAATAGTGATTCTTAAAGTCACAAACACATTTTTAACTTTCACAACGCAAATTGTCATTATCATGGTCTATAAAGTTTGTGAATTCTATGAACTTTGACAGTACATTATTTCTTCATATCAGGTGATATTTACATTTCTTTCCTTTGCTTAGTGTCAGCTGTTCCCTCTTTCCCTCTCATTCCCTCCCTCCCATCACTACCTTTGACTCTACTGCAGCTGATGGGCCCCTCTGTAGTATGTTTTCCCATTTTCCTCTGATTCTGTGTCCTCTGCCTAGCTTCCCTCAGGGGGGTGTGTGTCTGTGTGTGTGTGTGTGTGTGTGTGTGTGTGTGTGTGTGTGTGTGTGTGTGTGTGTGTGGTCAAGAACATGGAATCATTTAGCAATGATACACAAAATGAGTGGAAATCCTTTGTTTCTTGAGTCCTGTTTACTATGTCATATCTCCTTGCATTTTGGCTTAAGCATCCACATATCAGGGAGACCATGTGCCATTTGTCTCTTTGCTCTTGGCTTACCGCACTCAAAATAATTTGCTCTAGTTCCATCCATTTCCCTGTAAATGCCATTATTTTTTCCTTTCTAATGTTCTGCCTTTCTCTTGCAGAAAGATCCTGGTTTTGACAGGGGCCAATTCCATAAGCAGATTGCTGTCATGAGAGGACAGGTAAGCCTAGGACATCCTCAGGTGTCTTGTTACCATCTCCCTGGGAGGGAGTTGAGAAGATATATAAGGATATATAAAGCTCCACGGGCTGGGAAGGTGGCTCAGTGGTAGAGTGCTTGCCTTGCATGCATGAGGCCCTGGGTTCGATTCCTTAGCACCACATAAACAAAAAAATCCAGAAGTGGTGCTGTGGCTCAAGTGGTAGAGCACTAGCCTTGAGCTGAAGAGCTGAGGAACAGCGCCCAGGCCGAGTTCAGACCCCACAACTGACAAAAAAAAAAAAGATATCTAAAGCTCCTGTTTTCAGTCTATGCCATACATATTTGTGACACTGCCCTATAACACATAGGTGAGGGGAAGGTAGCCCTCCCCAATCTCCCACCCCTTCCACAGTATCTAGTAGCACTGTGTGCTTTTCCCAGTGCCTTTTTGTGGATACATTATTGTTAACTTAACCAACACTCTTGTGTTCTCTAGTTGCTCAAGGCTAGCTACGTGCCTTGGTGATTAAGGTTAGGCTCTGGAGTCAGACACCCTAGCAATTATTGTTTATAATAGGTTAGTAATAATTCTTGGCATAGTTCATAGAGGATTGCATGAGGTAGTACATATCAAGTGTTAAGTAAAAATAGTCTGGCACATAAACTCATCTATTGACTGTGGTTACAAAACTGGGCTTTTAAACCCCAAGCCCAAAGTCCAGAAGTCTGAAGTTGATCCAGCCACTCACCCCACCCCCAATGTCAAATAAAGAGGCAGAGAAAGGAGATTTATTAAATGGCAGGCATGGAAAGACAGTGCATCTTCAACCATCTTCTGAGATATAGCCAGTGATTTCAGTTAAATAGGCGATAAAAAAAGTATGTATAGTTAAACAGTCCCCAAAAGAAAAAATAACCAAAGCAAAACAAAAAATCTCGTTTCTATTTCCTGGAGGTCATTTCAGTAAACACTATTTTATATGATCAGAGACACATAGGCATTGTGCTTTTGTGTTCCTCTTCTAAGACTATCCTCACTGTGTGTGAATGCCTCGAGAGGATCTGTTCATTTTTAAGCTTTGATTGTCAGCTTGCCTTTCTGCCTTGTCCGGTACCATAGGCATGCAGGAGAGTGCCTGTTTCTTTGAACTCTCCCCACTTCCAAGGTTATGAACTTTACTTAACAAGGGCAAAAAAAAAAAAAAAAGGAAGCATTTGTTTTCATTTTTGTTTTGAGATAGTACCCCAGGGTGGTCTCTCAACTCTCGGGTTCAAGTGATCTTCCTGCTTTAGCTGGGACTACAGGTGCATGCCATTATGCCCATGCAAGGCAAATGAGAACATTTGTATTATTACTATTTATTTTTTGTCAGTCATGGGGCTTGAACTCAGGGCCTGAGTGCTGTCCCTGAGTTTTTTGCCCAAGACTATAGCTCTGCCACTTTGAACCACAGCACCACTTCTGGTTTTCTGGTGGTTTCTTGGAGATAAGAGTCTCACATAGCCGGGTGCCAGTTGCTCACACCTGTAATCCTAGCTACTCAGGAGGCTGTGATCTAAGGATCACAGTTCAAAGCCATCCTGGGCAGGAAACTCCGTGAGACTTTTATCTTCAATAAACCACCAGAAAACCAGAAGTGGCGCTGTGGCTCAAGTGGTAGAATGCTTGCCTTGAGCTGAAGAGCTGAGGGACAGCGCCCAGGCCCAGAGTTCAAGCCCCACAACCGGGAAAAAAAATAAAAAAAGGAAAAAAAGAGTCTCACAGACTTAACTGCCTGGGTGGCTTTGAACTGCGATCCTCAGATCTCAAGCCTCTTAAGCAGCTAGGATTACAGGCATGAGAGGCTTCATTTGTTTTTTGTTTTTTGTCAGTCATGAGGCCTGAACTCTGGGCCTGGGCACTGTCCCTCAGCTCTCCAGCTCAGGGCTAGCACCCTACCACTTGAGCCACAACTCCACTTCTGGCTTTTTCTGCTTATGTGGTGCTGAGGAATCGAACCCAGGGCCTTATGCATGCAAGGCAAACACTCTATCACTGAACCACCTTCCCAGCCTTTCATTTGTATTTTTTGAACCCAGGGCCTTATGCATGCAAGGTAAACACTCTTATCACTGAACCACCTTTCCAGCCCTTCATTTGTATTTTTTTAAAGTGACCATTTGCCCCTTAATGCCCATTTGTATTCCTACTATTATAGTTTCCATGATTTTCCACTGGTGTTTATTATTTCTTATTGATTTGTAGAAGAGCTCTGTCTGCTGTTCTTCCTGCCAGAGGCCAGACCTGTAAAGCTCAGGCCCTTCCCTCACCCTTCTTTTTCCTATTGCAGATCCTAAATCTGACCCAGGCACTGAAAGACAACAAGAGTCCCCTGCACCTCGTCCAGATGCCGCCTGTGATTGTCGAGACAGCCCGTTCCCACCAGCGGTCTGCTAGCGAGTCCTACACACAGAGCTTTCAGAGTCGGAAGCCTTTCTTTTCATGGTGGTAGCCTTAGAGGCAGGAAAACCTGTGTGAGACAGAGGCTGGGAGGAAGCCTGGAGACCTAGGTACAAGGAAGCCAGAGAAGTCTGTGGACAGCATCGCCTTTCAGAGTCCTCCCTCCTGTTCGAAGCCTCCCTTGGGGCTTTCCCACCCACAGGGAGAAGCACAATCAGGGACGAGAGTGCTCCTGGGCCCTTCCCAGTGCTGGGGAGGCTGGAGTTCCAAGCAGGGAGTCCAGGTGGCTGCAGCGGAGCAGTGCCCTTACAGCAGCCTCCTGGAGGCAGGTTGGGAAAGTCCCTCCTTCCCTGACACCCTGCTTCATTGCAATTCCCTATTATATTCTGCATCAGAAAGAAAAACAAAACAAAACAAATTTCAATGCTTGTAGCAGAATCCAGTTCCTATCATGTCAGAAGCTTTGAATTCAAAATTTGCATCGACCCAGACATTTGGGTACTTACTCCCATGAACCAATCAGAGGGCCACTGGGTGGCTCACAGTGCTGGGACAGAAGCCTCACCTTTCCATCTTTGCCAAATTTTCCCCTTTTCCTCTTAATCATGCAGTACTGGCTCCTTGTGGGGGGCAGCTTTTGCTCTGCCCTTCCAGCAGTTCTACATGTGATTTATAGACGCTCTCTGTTCTCTGCCATGCTATGGCTTGCTGTCATTCAAGCAGAGGCAGGAGAGCTAGCCTTAGTGTTTCTGTTTTAATGGGAAGTTGGCTCCCTGCCTGTGAAGATGATCCACACGGCCTAAGTTTATGCCGGGAGCTGGGAGTGGTCATGAATGGACCTATCCCAGCCTTGCTTCCTGAGTCCTAGTCCTCTTCAGACTTGTTTCTGTTGTTTTACATATATTTTTCCAACTCTTGACTTAGGAGTTCAGTTTAGGTTCTGGGGGTGGGTCTCTGGGAGTATTCTGGAATAAACTGGCTCCTAAGAGGCCAGGATACCAGGTCCCTGGGCTTCTTTAATGTTACTGCTGCTTGTGGTGGATGCAGCTTGACTTGGGATTCTGTCTCCTAATTGGCAGTTTCCCTTTGCTCCCTGGCTTCTGTCCTGGGCTTGTTTCTTCATGGCTTTTTGAAAAAGTTTGAGCCCAAAGGAGGAAGATCTGCAAATCGTCCCCAGTGCCTGCCCAGCTCAGTGTGTATCTCTTTGCTTCCATGTGTCTTCTCCCAGCTGTCCCCCCTTGCCAGGTGTTCAAGCCCTTTCTACACCAAAGCAAAGAATGGCCTCAGGAGGGAGTAAAAGGGAGTCACTTATGGCTGAGGGGCAGCTGTGTTCATGGTCTGTGCTGTGGACACCTGTGGTTCTTGTATCCTGCGACTGGTCAATCAGCCTTGAAAAGAAACTATCTTGAAGGTTTGAAAACAGCCAAAGAAAGGGAGTGAGGGCTATTGCTATGTGTCTCCTCTGCCTGTCCACCTCCCACCATCCAGGAGGCATAGCAGAAATTTCAGTCCTCCTGTGAACCCGGCCAGACTGCCTCGCCGTCCATTCCAGCTCAAGAGTCAGCTTGTCCTCACCCAGCTGACAGGAAGTTTGAGGCCTAGATATGCATGCCCCGTGGACAGACACTATGCCACCACCTGCCTGTCCTGACAGTCCCATTCCGCCCGCCTGGACTCTGGCCTGGGGAAGCAGATTTAAGAGAATAGTTGCCTCCTGACCACACAAGCCAGGCAGGAGCCTAGGTGTGCATCACTCTCCACAGACAACATCATGTGAACCTGCTGGCAAGGCTCCCCACTGGGGTGCTCAGGAGAGCCAGGGGTGCCTGAAGAGGAGCCTAATGCTTCACCAGCCTCATCTGCACTGTCCAGCTCCAGACCAGCCCTGCAACTTGAAGGAAATTGGGTCCAATTTAAGGGGGAGCCTAGTTCCAGGCCTGCAGGCAAGAGTGTAGGCTGGTCCTTTCCTGGCCCATCTCTTCTCTCCCTTGAAGCCTGTACTCAGGTTGCCTTGAATGTGGACTTTGGGAGGGCTAGAGGCTCAGAGTGCCTGGGCAGGCTTCTGGGCAACACTTCTAGAATAGCTGTCCTGCCCACCTGCCTGCCCTTCTCTGGCAGTGGAGGGTGGGCTGTGCGCTGCTGCTGCCCTCTATTGGTCTTCTAATGCACTGTAGAAATTGTATGTAATGTATTTAAATCAATGCAAATGTATGAATAACAAATCAAGTTCTGACCTTTTTGGCTGGTATTCTTTGGGGGCAAGAAGACAAGGTAGAGTGCATTTTTAAGGACAAGGAAACCTGTGTTTCTGCAGAGCTGTGGAAACTCCTGAAGTTACTTCTCCCTAGTAGAGGAAAGTACAAGTCCCAGTGCTCTGAAAAGTGAAGTGTTTTCATAACTTATTTCAGAGCCTGACCTGAGTCTATATTGACATAATACTATTGTTAATCATACATAGGCGTTGGTGTGAATATTTGTTGTAGAAATGTTTCTCTCTTTGATTTTTTTTTTTTTTTTTTGGCCGATTGTGGGGCCTGAACTCCCACTTCCAGCTTTTTTTGCTTATGTGGTACTGAGGAATCGACCCTAGATCCTCATGCATGCAAGGCAAGCACTTTACCACTGAGCCACCTTCAGACTTTTCCCCTCTTAATAGGGACTATATAATAATTGCACTGACTGCTTCATACCCCAGAACTATCAAAGGGTCATCTTGTCCCAAGGGGTACGAGGGAGGATTTTCTTGGTCACTAGAGGGCAACCTTGTCCTATGTGTGTATCATTGCCTTGTTGAACCCTGGCTCTTTTAAGTAATGGATGAATAATCAAGCAGGTAGGAGGGGGAAGAATGCTAATGAGCACACAGTCTGTTTCTTTTGAGGTGGAGCCAGAACAGTAGGAGAAAACCTCATCGCAAGGTTTCCAGGCCTTGGGATACTTAGGATAGTACAGGCACATAAAGAATGATTGATCTCCTTTCCCTGCCATAGAATGATTGGCCCATAAGGATGAAGCCATCTGAAGAGCTGGTATTTGCTGCTTTTTGCAACAGGCCAATGCCTGTTGTGTGGGGCCAACTGTCACAGCCTTCCCCCTGCCCTTTCCTGCGCATCAAGACTATCTAGAGACCCTCCCACATGTCTTCTGGACCCTCTAGAAAAGGAAGCTGAAGCACAGGGGCTCTAGGATATGGTAGAAAGCAGAAGCCTGCCCCAATTAGCCTTCTTAGGGAATTCCCACAAGAGAGAGCCCTCCATTTTACTACATACTCACGCAGTTCTTGATGCAAACGTTTTATTTGCTCATTAAGCTGTGGTTTCCTTGTGCTGCCTGATGGCAGCCTATTGGACTATGGTGACAATGGGTAGCTGGCACATTAGTGACAAGTGGTGAGAGGCTGCACAGGAGTACCCATTCCTGGACTCCTAGGGGAATATCATGCAGCCCAGTTACAGTGCTAGGTCAGGGCAGGCTGGAGGCAGGAGCAGTTCTGATGTCTCCTTACTCAGAAGACAGTGAATCCCATAAAATACAAAGTCCAGTGGATTTATTCTGAGCTGAGCAGGTGGTGGCCGTGGCCACCTGCTTCATTTACCCAGAAAGGACTTGTTGCCTCAGGTCTCCCTTCATCTCCTGAGGCCTTTTGGCAAAAGGTCCTGTGACTCCTGTGGAGGATTCTGCCATTCCTGGGCACCTCCCAGTGATCAGTGTCTGATCTGGTGAAGGTAGCCTGTGGGGTCTGGCTTCCTCCAATTCCGGCGGATCCTGGTGCTTGTTCTCTGGGACTTGCCAAACTGCTCACTGGAGGTTGTCTCAGTAGACATGCTGTGTGGGTTGGTCAGTGGAGTGCTAGGCTCTGGAACTCTGCTGGAAATAAGTATACAATAAGCCAACATCAACAGGAAGAATAGGATAGAGGCTTGTATTTTGAGTGTCCTCATGATGGAGTATAAAAACACTGTTCATGGCAAAATGAGCCAGGTTTCTGGTCTCATTTCTGCCCCCTAAGAAATGTATGACTAGGCAAAACTTTCAGATTTCTGTTACGAAGAGTATTGGTCTGGCTCATGACTGTAATCTTAGCTACTTGGAAGGTAGAAGTTAGGAGGATCAGAATAAGAAAGTTCTATGAGGCCCCATCTCAACCCACAACTAGGCATGGTTGTTATGTACCTGTCATTCCAGCTTCATGGAAAATGTAAATACAAAGATGGTGGTGAGGTTGGCAAAAGTGAGAACGTATTAAAAAAAATAGTGGTAGCGGCTGGGAAGGTGGCTCAGTGGTAGAACACTTGCCTTGCATGCATGAGGCCCTGAGTTCGATTCCTCAGCACCACATAAGCAAAAAGAAAAAAGCCGGAAGTGGCGCTGTGGCTCAAGTGGTAGAGCGCTAGCCTTGAGCTGAAGAGCAAAGGGACAGTGCCCAGGCCCAGAGTTCAAGCCCCACAACCGGACCCCCCCCCCCCCAAAAAAAAAAAAAAAAAAAAGAATCTCTTGAATTTGTCGCTGGGCGCTGGTGGCTCACGCCTGTAATCCTAGCTACTCAGGAGGCTGAGATCTGAGGATCGCGGTTCAAAGCCAGCCCGGGCAGGAGAGACCGTGAGACTCCTATCTCCAATAAACCACCAGAAAACCGGAAGTGGCACTGTAGCTCAAGTGGTAGAGCGCTCGCCTTGAGCTGAAGAGCTGAGGGACAGCGCCCAGGCCCAGAGTTCAAGCCCCACGACCGACAAAAAAAAAAAAAAAAAAATAGTGGTAGCAAAAAGGGCTGGGGACATGCTTCATGCTTTAAGCTAGGGGCAAACATCTGCTTAGTAAGCTCAAGATCCTGAGTTCAAATCCAAAAGTGCTAGTCTAGATCAAAGAATGGGAGACTTAGTTTACTTTTACCTTTATCTTGCACTCATTAGACAGTGACACTAGGGTTTGTTGGTTTGTCAGTTGTGGGCTTGAACTCAGGACCTAGCCCCTGTCCCTGAGCCCTTTTGCTCAAGGCTAGCACCCCACCACTTTGAGCCACAGCTCCACTTCCGGTTTTCTGGTGGTTAATTGGAGATACAAGTCTTAGGGACTTTCCTGCCTGGTCTGGCTTTGAACCGTGATCCTCAGATCTCAGTTTCTTGAGTAGCTAGGATGATGACAGGTGTGAGCCACCATCGCCCAGTTGACACTAAGGTCTTAAGCAGTGATTGCCGATGACCTGGAGTCCATTCAAGCAGTGAAGCTGACTTGGCATCTCAGACCTGATGAGCTATTCAGGTCTTATATTCGAGGGGGAATGGAGAGCACAGAGGGGAGGGTGCCTGTTGTGATAGTCATAGGCCAGGTGGTTCAAACCTCCCTGGAGTTTGCTGCTCCTGGGCAACGACGGAAGACGGAAGATGCCACTTCAAGGTATGGTTTCTACAACTTATGGTGCTTCGGCAGTACATTCCTCTGCTGCAGTCTCTTGTGTTCCCAGACACAAGGTTTTAACCAGCTTTTGAGTATTATTTTTTCTTTTTCTTTTTTGCCAGTCCTGAGGCTTGAATCAGGACCTGGGCACTATCCCCGGGCTTCTTTTGCTCAAGGCTAACACTCTACCACTCGAGCCACAGTACCACTTCCAACCTTCTTTGCTTATATGGTACTGAGGAATCGAACCCAGGGCCTCATGCATGCTAGGCAAGCACTTTAGCACTAAGGCACAATCCCAGTCCTATTGAGTATTACCTATTCTACAGGGGAACAATTCTTTTTCTTCCGAACAGTTCTCCCTCCTAGAGGACAAATGTTATAAAGTATGGTGGTACTGCTAGAACCAGGCACCTCATCCCATAGGGTGGCAGAGTAACATAACTTCTTCCTATTTGAATTTCATAGTCACATGATTCCAGCACCTAAAAAGCAGTCTTCCAGGTGGAACCAAGTGGCACTGTGGTCCTTCCAGCAACCCCAATAGTAAGCATTTTCCAGTGACACCAGTTTCGGGTCACACAGCCCAGACATCACTGCTACCCTTTCCTTAGCCCCTCAGTCCCACGCACTCACCTGAGCCGGCTGCAGTGGTGGAGTGAGTGGCCCAGGACATTCTGCTTTGGGGTCCTCTTCCTGCGTAGCCTCCTCAGGGCCTCTGCCACACGGTGGTCCCCAGCACACTCCCAGATGATCTGGGCCCGCTCCTCAGCCAGCTGGTCCCCACTGCGCTGAAACAGGCTCTGGATTTGCAGGAGCTCAGCATCCTGGAAGATGTTGGCAGATGCCTGCTTGCGGCCCCGGGCCTCAGTGGGGGCCTGCCAAGTGGGTGGTTCACTTACCACAGAGGCTGGGGTGCCCATTGTGGGTACTCTGTGGACATAAACCATGCAGACATCAGTTTGCAGCAGGCCTTTCCAAAAGCTGTGGTCCTGACGCAAAGTTCTCCCTTCCCCAGGATTTAAACTATAGGAAGGGTCTTGCCTTGGAACCATGCCAGATTCTCAGGACACTTTATGGAGATAATATAAAAATTGACAGCAAAACTTTTTTCTTTTGGGGGGGGGTCGGTCATGGGGCTTGAACTTGACCGGGGCATTGTCCCTGAGCACTTGCAAATCAAGGCGAGCACTCTACCACTTGAGTCACAGCGCCACTTCTGGTTTTCTGGTGGTTTATTGGAAATACTTGCCTCAAGGACTTTTCTGCCTGGTCTGGCTTTGAACTGTGATCCTCAGATCTCAGTCTCCTGAGGAGCTAGGATTTACAGGTATGAGCCACCAGTGCCCAGCAGCAAAACCTTCTTTTAAATTTTTTTAATACACATTTTTTATTGTAAAGATACTATACAGAGGGCTTACATTACATAAGATAATGAGTACATTCCCTATTGAGCATTGTTACCCTGTTTTTCCGCTACCATTCCTTCTCTTCCCACCTCCCCTACTTCTCCCTCCCCCCTCACCAAAGTTGTAAAGTTCATTTTCAACATAGTGTCTTGTACATTCATTGTTACAGCAAAACTTTTTTTTGGGGGGGTGGGGGGGGATGCACAGTCATGGGGCTTAAACTCTGGGCCTGGGCGCTATCCCTCAGCTCTTCAGCTCAAGGCAAGCACTCTACCACTTGAGCCACAGCACCACTTCTAGTTTTCTTTTTGTTGGTCGTGGGGCTTGAACTCTGGGCCTGGGCGCTGTCCCTCAGCTCTTCAGCTCAAGGCAAGTGCTCTACCACTTGAGCTACAGCACCACTTCCGGTTTACTGGTGGTTTATTGGAGATAGGAGTTTCTTGGTCTCTCCTGTCCGGGCTGGCTTTGAACCGTGATCCTCAGATCTCAGCCTCCTGAGTAGCTAGGATTACAGGCGTGAGCCACCAGCACCCGGCTACTTCTAGTTTTCTGAGCGGATTATTGGAGATAAGAGTCTCATGGACTTTCCTGCCAGGGCTGGCTTTGAACCTTGATCCTCAGATCTCAGCCTCCTGAGTAGCAATGATTACAGGCATGAGCCACCAGCGCCTGGCTACAGCAAAACTTTTTTTTTTTTTTTTTTGGGGGGGGGGGGGGTCCGGTCGTGGGGCCTGAACTCTGGGCCTGGGCGCTGTCCCTCAGCTCTTTAGCTCAAGGCTAGCGCTCTACCACTTGAGTCACAGCGCCACTACCGGCTTTTTTCTTTTTTGCTTATATGGTGCTGAGGAATTGAACCCAGGGCCTCAAGCATGCAAGGCAAGCGCTCTACCACTAAGCCACCTTCCCAGCCCTACAGCAAAACTTTTTAAGTGCTTGTATCAGATACAAAGTGCTTGTATCGGATACCTGGACTTTTTTTTAAGTCATAGCAACTGCAATCAATTGCTGCTTGCCCTCATTTTACAGATGAGGTGCCGCTCAGGTTAAATGACTTGTTATATCACAAAGCCTATATAAGTGTGGGACCTGGAAGACCTAAAAACTGTTCTTTAGTCCATAAGACCCCAAATCTGTTGGGTACTAAGCACATGCTGCTGTAAGAGCTTTCTCTATAGAAGCTCTGTGCTATGCACAGCAATCTTAGGAGGTAGGTTCTTTTATCCCATTAGAAGGAGAGCCTGTGGAAGAGAGGTTACATGATCTGCAGTGTGCCACTGGAATTGAATCAGACAATGATGCAGAGGCCCAGGGTCTGTGGCATAGAGGTGAGAGAGGGGTATGGAACTCGGCTACTATGACTGGAAGTCTCCTTTGCCATTTCCTGGCTCAGGGCTCTTCATTCCCTAACTGCTGGCAATAGGACAGACTTCGTAGGGATAAGGCAAAGACCAAAGTGATTAAGACTGTGCACAGTGTTCTGTCATAGATTGACTTTCTCCCCCCAAATGCTTGGGATGTTGGATTTTTCAGATTTTTTGATTAGTTGTACACATATAATGAAATATTTGGAGAACCAGATCCAAGTTGAAAAACAAATAGTTTACGTTTTCTATATGTCATATACACACAGCCTGCAGATAATTTATACAACATTTTAAGTCATTTTGTATGTGAAATAAGCTTTCATGGTGTGGAGTTTTCCACTTGTGGGGTTATGTCTGTATTCAAACTTTTGGATTTTGGAGCATTTCAAACTTCGTATTTTCAGAGTAGGAATGCTCAACCTGAATACACTTTTCAATTTATTCAACCTCTCTAAGCCTGTTTCCTTAGTAAAAATGGGAGGTGGGAGGGCGGTAATACTCACTTTTCAGAAAAATGATAGAGATTAAATGAGCTTGGTGTGGTATCAATCAACTGTTAGAAATACACAACTCTCCAGTGTCAGAAATGAATAGACTCACAAAAGATATAAAACATTTATAAGAGATTTTGTCCAAAAAAAAAAAAAAAAAAACTATATAGAGCGGAAGTGGCGCTGTAGCTCAAGTGGTAGAGCGCTGCCCTTGAGTTGAAGAGCTGAGGGACAGCGCCCAGGCCCAGAGTTCAAGCCCCACGACCGAAGAAAAAAAAAAAAAAAAAGATTTTGTCAAGGCAATTTACTTTTTTTTTCTTTTTTTTTGGTAAATTGCAGGTCTTGAACTCAGGGCTTGGGCACTGTCCCTGAGCCTCTTTGCTCAAGACTAGCACTTGATCCACAGTGCCACTTCCAGTTTTTGTAGGATTTTTTTTTTTTTTTGGTCGGTCTTGGGGCTTGCACTTGGCTTGAGCGCTGTCCCTGCACTTTTCAGCTCAAGGCGAGCACTCTACCTCTTGAGCCACAGTGCCACTTCTGGATTTCTAGTGGTTTATTGGAGATAAGAGTCTCATGGACTTTCCTGCCCGTGCTGGCTTTGAACCATGATCCTCAGATCTCAGCCTCCTGAGTAGCTAGGATTATAGGCGTGAGCCACAGGCGCCTGGCTCACTTCCAGTTTTAAGTGGTTAATTGGAGATAAGTCCCCATGAGAATGGGGACTTTTCTGCCCAGGCTGGCTTTGAACCAGGATCCTCAGATCTCAGTCTCCTATAGCTAGGATTACAGGCGTGAACCACCAATGCGTGGCAAGGTAGTTTACTTTTGCACAAAAGAGTACAAGCAATACGGTTTCTCTACCCAGAGGTGGGCAGGCACATGAGGCAGAGCACTGTGCTAGGTTTTTATCCCAGTCTAGACTGTCCATCCTTCTTGTCAAGGAGTTAGGCTCACAGTCTAGGTACAATTGACAACCAAGACTAGAAAGGGGGCTATTCTTCCATTTTTCTCAAAGGTTTACCATTTGTTTGTTTGTTTTTCCATCACAGCAGGATGGGAGTGGGACTGGGAACAGGGTGGCTGGCAGATATAGTTGGAAGAGGCCGATGAGATCAGTGAGAAGCTCCCACTCAAAAGGGGGTCTTATTCCTTTTAAATCCATCGATAAATATTTCTTTGACAAGCAGCACACTTGGTAGTTACTGTTTTATTCTTTTAGCTCCTTTGATAAAGATTTATCTCCCTTGGGCTGGGAAAGTGGCTCAGTGGTAGAGCACTTGCCTTGCATGAATGAGGCCCTGGGTTTGATTCCTCAGCACCACATAAGTAAAAAGAAAAAAGCCGGAAGTGGTGCTGCGGCTCAAGTGGTAGAGCACTAGCCTTGAGCTAAAAAGCTGAGGGACAGTGCCCAGGCCCAGAGTTCAGGCCCCACGACCGGACCCCCCAAAAAAAGATTTATCTCCCTAACATGATTACCTGGTCACAAGCAGCACACCTGGTAATTAATTTATTTTTTATTTTATTTTTTGATCATGGGGCCTGAACTCTGGGCCTGGGCACTGTCCCTCAGCTCTTCAGCTCAAGGCTAGCACTCTACCACTTGAACCACACTCCACTTCCAGCTTTTTCTGTGTATGTGGTACTGAGGAATTGAACCTAGGGCTTCATGCATGCAAGGCAAGCACTCTACCACTGAGCCACCTGCCCAGCCCTTGACAGAACTTTCCTAAGACTGCTTTTTCTCACACTCCCAACAATCAAAGCAAATGTAAATGTCCTTTTTTGGCCTCCCTGGCTGTTGTATTTGAATCAGGGGTTTGATGTGGACCTACACTTCCCTCAGCAGATAGTGTGGCCAGAGTCAGCTGAGGGCAGGCCTGTGCTTTCTCCTTCCCTCTCTCACTCCATTCCTGATGGGGAGGGGGCAGGTCCTGCTCTTTCCCAGGCCTAAGCTGGGCTCCTTCACAGAGGAGCCTGCTGCTGCTGGTGGTGGCTGTCCAGCTTCAAAGAAAAGTTCAAACATATTCAAACAAATGTATGTACTCGGTGGAAAGGAAGAAAACAGCAGGGAGCTACATAAATAAAAGCATTTCCAGAATCCTTTGCTCAACCCACTTGCTGAAAGCAACCCTTATCCTAAACTAACCTAACCTGCCATTTGTTCTTTTGTTCCCTGGAGAGTTTGAGTCATCTCTCCATCCCATTCAGCCTCCTCCTAGAATGATGATCCCCTACTCTGCCCCGGCCTTCCCTCCACCTCACCTCATAACCACCCTCCTTATTCCAGTAATTTCCACACTCAACTCTGTCCCAGTTTCTATCTTAGAAACCCACTCTCATTTCAAAAGATTCAATGCCTAAAATAAACACACAAAAGACACCTAGATGATATATTTAACTTCATAAGCATTGTATATTTCATCTGGAAAATAGGACTGTAAAAAACTGCCTGCAGGAATTACTGTGGGAATCCAGTTAAAACCTAGTATGTATGATAATTAACCTCCACTCCCTCAGGCTCCTGGTATAAATATTCTGTAACCAGAAGGCAATATTAACTAGGGAGCGCTTTCAGGCTGATAGGAAGAAATAGAAACAGACTATGGGATATTGTTCTGTGTTTTCCTTTGTTTGTTTGGCATGTCAATACATGGGCCTGAACTCAGGACTTGGGTGCTGTCCCTTAATGTTTGGTGTGACACACTCCTCCCTCCCACCTCAAGACTAGCACTGTACAATTGGAGCCAAAGCTCAATGTCTGGCCTTTTGCTGATTAATTGGAGATAAATGTCTCAGACTTTTCCTGCCTGGGCTGTCTTCAAACAGTGACCCTCAGTCCTCAGCCTCTTGAATAGTGAGAATTAAATTATTCCCCATCCACCGGGCTGCCATTGCAGCCACTCAACTCAAGGATACACATATTCCCATTTCCCTAACTCACAAAGGGAAAACCCTGACAAAGGACAGTAAATTATCCCACAGGGTGGAGTCATGGAATTTATTTTCATCTGCGCACTAGCATCACGGTGGTTTTCTTGGCCTTGAACAAGTGGCACTCTTTAGAGGAAAAACTGCAACTTCCACAAAAGAATTCTAGAACTAGCCCGGGCAGTGACTCATGAGTCAGAAGACTCAGGATTCCAGCCCTGGTCCTGCCACTCACTGGCTGGCAGGCCCCAGGTAATTCACATCACCTCTACAGGCCAGTTTCTCCCTTCCTGCTGTGAGAACTCACCTGGTATGGAGAATCAACATACATATGACAGGAAAATGAGCATAAAGCTTCTTGTCCCCTGGTCCTAGGAACTGTGTGTATGGACAGGTGTGGCTAATTAGGTGCCTACGAAGTCAGAAACTAGAAGCTTCCTACAGGGGGTCTGTGGGATCATTATCCAGTCAGAGTCACTCTGCTGTAAAGTGATCAAGCAGAAGATAGACCCCTCTGTTGGCCTAGAAGATGAAATGATGTCCTTTCTCTCAGACCCAGGCAATCTCCTTCTATCCCCAGGGAAAGAAAGGCAACAAAGATCAGCAGGACAGCAACATCTGTCTTCAGAGAGGAAATGGCTTGGGGTCTGACTTCCCAGAGAGTCCCAGCAACCTTTGCAGGGCAGCAAGGTCTAGACTGGGCAGCCTCTAGTCAGCCAAGTTCCAAACTAGCAACAAGAAACAATCTAGGGGGGCTGGGAAGGTGGCTCAGTGGTAGAGCGTTTGCCTTGTATGCCTGAGGCCCTGGGTTCAATTCCTCAGCACCACATAAGCAAAAAGAAAAAAGCCAGAAGTAGTGCTGTGGCTTAAGTGGTAGAGCTCTAGCCTTGAGCTGAAGAGCTAAGGGACAGTGCCCAGGCCCAGAGTTCAGGCCCCACGACCGGACCCCCCCTCAAAAAAAAAAAAAAAGAAACAATCTAGGAGAGTGTGAGTGTCCAGCCTCAACTGTATACCCTGGGAGCCTGGGGGAGGGATTGGCACCTCTAGATTTTAGGGACTGTCACTCCTGGGAGCCTCCCCCTGGGATTCAGAGGGCAGAGCAGATCCCAAGTAGGGTTAAAACTGAGAAATTTGGTGAAATGGTGATCAGAACACTTATTATCAGAAGAAACTTTTAGTCTCATTTAATGTATTGACTAGATAGTTTCCCCCTAATTTCCTGGACAAGATCTTAATCCAGGAAGGTCAGTATATACTTGAATAATGGCACTTTTTAAAATTGGAAACTGAAACCACAAGGCTATTAAAAGATTACAAATCTATCTTTAATTTCAGAGTTGCCACAAAAGAAGATAAGCATGTATGTGCACAATGATAAAGACTCATTGCAAAATACTTCAATTTGACATAAACTGGGTTCAAAGTGAATGCCCAAAGTATAATATCAAACATTGAAAGGTCAAAGTTCCACATGGTTTGAATCAGGCAATAAATATAGATCTGTAGAGCTCTAACAAATAGGTGTATTTAAAAAGTGACTCACTCTAACTGGAGTGCCTATGATTCATGCCTGTAATCCTCACTACACTGGAAGCTGAGATCTGAGAATATGAGTTCAAGGCTAGCCTAGATTAAAAAAAAAAAATCCATGATATTCTTATCTGCAACTAACCAGCAAAAAATCTGGAAGTAGAGGTGGCTCAACTGATAGTGTCGGCCTTGAGTGAAAAAGCTGAGAGGCAGTTCCTAAGCCCTGAGTTTAAGCAATCCCTGGCATTGGTGCACACGCATGTGCGCGAGCACACACACACACACACACACACACACAAGTGACTCACCTAGCAATGCGTCTGCAGTATGTAAATAGGATGCATAATTGAGAGTTCTTAGTAAACACGGGAAGTCAGGCTGACAGCGGTTATCTCCAGAGGTTTTGGGAGGTGCAAGAGGTGGAAAACACTTGGGTGAGCTGGGAAACTCCTAGTTCCTACTCTGCTTGTCCACATTGAATAGCCTCAGTAATAGCAATAAACTCTATAATCAGAGGCCAACAGCCTCTCAGAAAAATAACTAGCAGCCCTGGCCCAAAGCCCATATCAACACTGGCCTTCAGCTCTGCACATACATGGCACTGGACAACAGCCAAAGTCCTCAAGTAGTTCAACCCCAGAACCCCCACATACAAAATCATAGCTGTATTATTATTATTATTATCAACATGGTTTTTAAATTCAGGGCTTCAGGCTTAGTAGGCAAGAGCTCTACTTGAGACACGCCCCCAGCCCTTTTTGCTTTGTTTTCCAGATCCAGTCTTCCACTATTTGCCCAGGCTGGCCTGGAACATCGATCCTCCCATTTCTCCAGAGTAGCTGTGATTACAGATGTACACTGCCGAACTGCGATGACACATACTGAACAGAGCATTTCCAGAGAGTCTTCTTAGTCCTTACATGAGGTGGCATCATCAAACACCCCCCTGAGGAGGTAGTTATTGTGAAACTCATTCTATAGATAAGAAAGATGAGCTCACGAAGTTTAAGTAACTTGCTCCAAATCTCACAGCTGGTAGGTGACAGAAGCTGGAATGTACGGATCTGGTCCGAACCCAGCACTCACGCTCTCAACCCTTGTTATTTTTGTTCCTGCCAGGTGGCTCAGAAGAGGTTCAGGGGAAACAAGGGCCCAGAAGGTTCTGACACCTCTTGGAGTCTGCTCCCTGTTTCTGCAGGTTTGGGAAGTCGCCAGAGATCCAAAGGAAAGGACTCCCAAGCCAGCGTCTGCGCCCTCAGCAGCACACCGATGGAGTTAGGACCGGCTGTGCGCCGCCACTCTGTAGGGCAGCTCGCACAGACCTCAGATCGGGATGGGGCAAGCTAAGACTTGCCCATCCCCAGCCTCTCCACGGCTATTCGAAAGGGCGGTGCGGGGCTGGGTTTCCTACCGCGAAGGTGCTTGCAAGGGCCGGGCGGCAGTCACACACAGGACCAGAGCTCGGGAAAAGGTATACTGGCCGAGGTCATACGGCGACCCCCCAGCACGATGGCCGGGCGCTCCCCCACCCCCTCCGCGGGGCTCAGAGGTAGCCTCACGGTCAAACAATGGATCCCTAAATGTATCTAGCCGTAAACGACCCAACAGCACCCAGGTGGCTCCCGGCGCCACGCAGCCAGCCCTCCGATCCACGTACCTGGTTGCCCAAGGCGTGTCTCTCGTAGCCCCAAGCTGGCTCGGGTCGCCTGGATCACAGCCACGGTTCCCCGGGAGAAATCGCTTGCGAGCCCCGGAACTGCCAATCCTCTGTCCCAGCCGGCTTGCGAGCTCCGGAGCCAGCCTTCCAAAATCGAACGCGGAGATCCCGAGGACCAATCAGCGGGCGCAACCGGGGAGGGGCGCGTCTAGCCAGCCCCCCCGCTCCCGCCCCCCCTACCCCGGCCTCCAAAGTCGTGCGCGGTGATTCGCTGCATCCAATCAACGGCGGCACAGCCACGAGGGGGCGTTCCTCGCGGGCCCTTCCGTCCGCCCCGCCGCGCTCGCTCCGCCCTCGGAGGAGCCCTCTTCATTGACGTCAGTCCTCAGGACCTGCGTGGTTTCACTGGCGCGAAGGCCGGGCGGGGCCGCATTCCTGCCCCCGGGTGCGGCGACCGCTGGCTCAGCTGGGTACACGTGACGGGTGCCACTTCTGACCCTAAGCCAGATCGCGCAGCGCCCTGGCTCCTTGCAGAGCCTTAAACTCACAGCAATTAAAACCCACCGCCCACCTTTGTTCTCCCTTCCGCTTTGAGGAACAGGACGGGGCAGCCGGTGCTGCTCGTTAGAATGGCCTGCCAGTTCCAGCCTTAGGTCAGTTACCCACAGGAGTCCGTACTTAAATTGGTACTCATTCCGCCTCGGTCATTAGGGACCTACCCTGTCCCGATTCCTCGACAGGTGCAGTTTACAACCTGGCAAGAGAGGCAAACACAAACAACTTAAAACACTGCATGCAATTTACAATTGTAATCAGCGTTGTGCTGCAAGAAGGTAAAACGGAGGAAATCTCCGGGAGGGCCTGGAAGGCTGAAGAAGTAAGCAAGCAGGGATCTGAAGATGAAGTTGTTGCAATGAGTTGGGTCTGGAAAGAGTGTTTAAGGAAGAGGGAAGGGTACATGCTAGGACAATGCCATAGCTTTGCTTGGAAGAGATTAAACAAGGTGCTTGCAAGGCATTGCATAGCCCTATGCCACACATAGTGGGAGGCAGGGATGGAGGCAGGCTGAGAAGTTTGCATTTGACCCTCTAAGGGGTTTAGGCTGAGAATAACATGATACTCTTTTCTTTCTCTTCCTTCCTTCCTTTCTTTCTTCCTTCCTTTCTTTCTTTCTTTTTTTTTTTTGCCAGTACTGGTATTGAACTCAAATCCTAGGCACTGTCTGTTTTTTTTGCTCAAGGCTGTGGCTCTATACCACTTGAGCCACTCTACTTCCTGCATTTTGGTGATTAATTGAAGAGTCTCACAGACTCTCCTTCCCAGGCTGGCTTCAATTGTGATGCTCAGATCTTAGCCTGAGCCAGTGCTACCTGTGCCTGGCTATATGTACCTACTGAATAGGCATTGTAATGCCAGTCAGCACCTTACAGGCAGCATGTTTTATCCTAGTGGTATATTTGCAATTTTTAGAGGGTTATGTCAGCTGCAGTTTGGAACTTGGGTTGGAGAAGGCAGGAGTGGATGCATGATCTCCATCAGGCTCTTGATAAATACTTTTTCCCCCTTAAAAAAGGAGGAGTTGCATGTACAAGCAGAAATAGTCAGCAAGGATGCCTGATATAGGTAGCATAGTCTCCCTGACTTCTTTCTCATCTTAAGCTAATCACACAAATTTCCTTTTTCTTTTGCAAAAGTTCCAAAAGGGAAGGGGAAACGTTGGAATTTGCGGTCCCTTCTTGCAGGTACTTCAAAGAGGTGTGGTCTGCATTTGCCTTTCTTTTTCCCTTAGCATAAGCAAGAGTTACATGATTATGTCTCAACAAAAGGTTTTGTTGTTATTGTTGTTTTGGGGGTTTTTTTGTTGTTGTTGTTGGTTGTGGGGACTGAACTCTTTTTTTTTTTTTTTCTTTTTTTTTCTTTTTAACTGAACACTTTTCTTAGGAAATCATGAAGAAATTATTGAGCTGATTAATATGGGTGAAAGATATTTAAGTTTGGTTATTGTTTAAGCTGCCTAGTTTGTTTGTTTTTTTGGGTCCAGTCATGGAGCCTGAACTCTGGGCCTGGGTGCTGTCCCTCAGCTCTCCAGCTCAAGGCTAGCCCTCTACCATTTGAGCCACAGCGCCACTTCTGGCTTTTTTCTTTTTTCTTATGTGGTGCTGAGGAATCCAACCCAGGGCCTCTGGCATGCAAGGCATGCACTCTACCACTGAGCCACCTTCCCAGCCCGGGGACTGAACTCTTGGCCTGGGCACTGTTTCTCAGGTCTTCAGCTCAAGACTAGCACCCTACCACATGAGCCACAGCACCACTTACCGCTTTTTTCTGCTTATGTGGTGCTGAGGAATCAGACCCAGGGGCCTCATGCACATGAGGCAAGCACTCTACCACTGAGCCAACTTCCGAGTCCCTCAACAAAAGGTTTTTTTTTGGGGGGGAGGGGGGTTTCTGGTTGTGGGGCCTGAACTCTGGGCCTGGGCGCTGTCCTTCAGCTCTTCAGCTCAAGGCTAGCGCTCTGCCAGTTGAGCTATAGTGCCACTTCCAATTATCTGGTGGTTAATTGGAGAAAAGAGTCTCAGACTTTCCTGCCCAGGCTAGCTTTAATTGCAATCCTCACATCTCAACCTCCTGAGTAGCTGGGATTACAGGCGTGAGCTACCAGTGCCTGGCAATACTACGGGTTCTTAAAGTTGAAGACTGGACTTCTGAGCTAAGGACTCCTCACTGTAAGCAATGGGAAAACCAGGCTCTCAGCATCTCAGTGCTTGGAGAAGCTTAGATTCTCCGAGCCATCAGCTCAGAGGAGCACACCATGGTAAGGAACTTGTGGTTTCTGCATCAGATGTGACTAAGGTTGGGCAGAGAACGTCTGATGTCTCCAAGTACACGTGACTATATTTACCACACTTGGAACCATTTCCAGTGTCACAAGCCTTATGATTCAGTATTTCTGATGAGAAGATGAAGTACTTTCATAGTTGTGTCAGCCATGTGAATCCTTACCACAAGTGGGGACATGTGAAACTCACAGAAGGATGCAGGTGACAGTAGCCACCTACAAAGGGCACTATTTAGAGAAGGTTGACAGTAAGGAATGCCACTTGGTGTCATTCAGGCCAAGACTTGGTTTTAGCCAGGACCCAAATTAAGGTGAAATGAATAAAGAATTCTTCTCAGGCAAAAACAAACAAATGAGCAACAACAACAACAACAAAACCTTGATAAGATAAATAACATCTTAATTCAGAATATTTTTTAAAAAGATAAAAATGGGGGTCTGAGAAGGTGGCTCAGTGGTAGAGCGCTTGCCTTGCATGCCTGAAGCCCTGGGTTCGATTCCTCAGCACCACATAAAGAAAAAAGCCAGAAGTGGCACTGTGGTTCAAGTGGTAGAGTGTTAACCTTGAGCTGAAGAGCTGAGGGACAGCGCCTAGGCCCAGAGTTCAGGCCCCACGACCGGACCCAAAAAAAAAAAAAAAAAGAATGCAAAACTGCTTGTGGGAATGTAAACTAATACAACCACTCTGGAAAGCAGTCGGGAGGTTCCTTAGAAAGCTACATATAGACTTACCCTGTGTTCTAGCCATACCACTCCTAGGCATCTACTCTGAGCAACAGGAACTAGGATACAAGGACACATGCACCTGCATGTTCATTGCTGCACTATTCACAATAGCCAAGATATGGAAACAACCCCGATGCCCCACTACAGATGAATGGATCCAAAAATTGTGGTACCTATATATAATGGAATATTACACAGCTATTAGAAAGGAAAAAATAATGGTATTAGCAGGGAAATGGATGGAACTAGAACAAATCATGTTGAGTGAAATAAGCCAAGAAAAGAGACAAATGGCAGATGGTCTCCCTGATATGTGGATGTTAAATCCAAAATGTAAGGAGATATGACAAAGTAATCAGGACTCAAGAAACAAAGGACCTTTTCTCAATTTGTGGTATCATTTCTAGATGACTCCACGTTCTTGACCTCATATATGGTATATACATGTGCACATGTGAGGGAGGAGGGCACAGAATCAGAGGGAAACGGGAAAAAAATACAACAGAGGGGCCCATTCGCTGCACTGGACATTGATGAAAGTGAACTAAGCAAGTCAAGGGCAGCAATGGGAGGGAGGGAATCAGAGAGAAAGAGGGAACAGCTGACACTAAGCAAAAGGAAAGAAATGTACATATCACCCCATTTGGAAAAAATAGCTGTGGTGTCAAAGTTTGTAGAGCCCATAAGTTTTATAGACCACAATAATGACAATGCACCTCATGGAAGTTAAAATGTGTTTGTGACTTTAACCAAGTATCACTATCCCACAAAACTGTGAAATTTTGTAATAATTTAATCTTAATTTTTAAAAAAAGTAAAAAAAAGAATGCAAAAAAATCCACGATGAACAAAATATCAAAAACTAAAATTTGTTTTATGATTCTGACTTATTTTGTAATTGGAGTAGTTATTTCCCATCAGCCCCCAGTTTCCAGGCAGACTGCCATGATGGTGGCTTTGTGAAGTCTGACAATAGCGTGTGAAGAGATTGGGTAACAAAGCCTTTCAATGGAGTTTTTTTTAGCTAGAATGCTCTTACCCGCTTTTTCCATTTGGTTGAGAACATGGAAGGATATTTGTATAAGGGCAAATAGGCATATATTTGGGCTGCGGTATGGTTCATCCAGGTGCTGAAAGGCAGTAGTTAGGAAATGAGTTCTATTCCTTAAATAAGGGACTGCACTTTTCTCCTTTCTAGTTATCATCGTTAATGTGGGGGTAATCAAGGCTGGAGATGTAATTCAGTGGTAGAGTGTATGTTTAGTGTAAGTGAGGCTCTGAGTTTGATTCCCAGGACTGAAAAGTCAACTTGAAAAGAAAAAAGGGAGGGCTGGGAAGGTGGCTCAGTGGTAGAGCGCTTGCCTTGCATGCCTGAGGCCCTGGGTTCGATTCCTCAGCACCACATAAGCAAAACAGGGGGAAAAAAAAAAGGCGGAAGTGGCACTGTGGCTCAAGTGGTAGAGTGCTAGCCTTGAGTTGAAGAGCTGAGGGACAGCGCCCAGGCCAAGAGTTCAGGCCCCACGACCGGACCCCCCCAAAAAAAGGGGAATAATCTCTGTGTTGCTGTTAAG